ATTGACCTAATTTTTCTGTATGGTATATTTTGTTCTTGTGCTTTATGTAGTATATTAGTGAATATATTATAGTCATGATCAATTGTTGTGTCATCTATGACCTCACCCCTTCCTACTGGGGACTGACGTGACTGTTCCCAGGTGACCTCACCTAGGTCCCTTCTTAACCCCTGATAATCCGCCAACCGAAAGTTTGGGACTCTGACCATATTGTCATTGTTTTTCGTTTCCCAATTTAGGGTGAACCTGATTTCTCTGTGATCACTGTTGCCTAGTTCTTCCACTACTGTGATATCTCTGATAATATTTTCTTTATTTGTTAATACGAGGTCTAATATATTGTCACCTCTAGTAGGTTCTGTAATTAGTTGTTTCAAAAAATTGTCCTGTACTGCGTCAAGGAAGTCTTCAGATTCATAGTCGCCTACAATGTTGTCCCAGTCAATATTTCTGAAGTTGAAATCCCCCATAATGCATAGGTTGTTATATTTTGCTGCCCTACTCATTTCCTGCCATATGGGCTGAGCTGCTTCTTTGCCAAGACTTGGGGGCCTGTAAATCACTCCCATAATTAGTTTTTCTCTTCCTTCCGTGATTTCTACCCACACAGACTCGGTTCCTATTTCACCCTTTATTGAATTATTAATACAACATTTTAATGTATCCTTGACGAAGAGTGCGACCCCTCCCCCCTTCCTACCTTCCCTGTCTTTGTGAAAAAGGTTGTACCCTTCTATGTGGTACTCTGATAAAAAAATTTTGCTCGCCAGATTCATCCAAGTTTCGGTGATTGCTATGACGTCTACATTCTCGGTACATACAACCGCTCTCAGCAAGTCTATTTTATTTCTAACGCTCCTACTGTTTGTATAGTATACATTTAAACCTACCCTTCCCTGGTCCTGTTTTACCCCTTGTCCTGAGCAACTAATTTTACTTCCCATGACCTGCTTGTTTTTTGACTCCCACTTTCCCCGACCTCTCTCTACTGGCGAAACCCCCCCTTCGGAGTGACAAATTCACGCTCCAGGGATCCAGACAACGTCTTTATCCCCTCACCAGACAAGTGTACTCCGTAGCGACTGTACAGGTAGTCGTTGCCATAGAATCGCTGCCAGTTATCAATGAATGCCCAACCATTGTTTGCACAATGTTTTTCCAGTCGGCAATTTATAGCAATTGCCCTGGACAGCCATTCACGACCAACCCCTCTTCTAGGCAAGACACCACATACTATCGGGATCCCTCCCCTATTTCTAATCTTCCCCAGCGCCTCCCTATACCTCTTGAAAAGTTCCTCACTCCTAACCTTAACTATGTCGTTTCCTCCCACACTAAGACACACTACTGGATTGGTACCCTCCCCTGACAAAACCCTGTCTAACCTCTCGGCTACATGCCCTATCCCAGCCCCAGGAAAACACACCCTAGTCCTACGTTTCCTATCTCTCGCACAAAAAGCCCTATCCATAAACCTCACCTGGCTGTCCCCAACTACCACGACCTTACCTGTGGGCAGGGTTTGTACAACTGCCCTTTCCTCTCCTTGATCCATACCGTCCTGCCTCTTCTCTTCCTCGCCAGCTTCCTGCAGCACCTGGTAAGGGTTACTACACTCCACACCCTGGTCAGCTTTCCTGAGCCTGACCCTAGTCCCCTTGGAGACAACCACTCTCCACGCCTGCTCCTCCTTCGCAGGTGTCCTGCTAGGCAGGACACCTACCTGAAGGAGTTCCGTCCTGAGGGCTTCATTTTCCCCCTTTAGAGTGTCAACCTCACTCCTCAACTGCCCCAGCTGCCTTAACAGAGTGGCAAGGAGGTCGTCTCTCCCCACACTCCCCTCCTCTTCCCCCAAGACACAACGATCCAAGGCGGCCATTTTCCTTGGTCTCTAACGGGAGCACTTGTGGCACGACCTTCTCCAAGCTGGGTCAGGTACTACCGCCAGGGAAGATATTGGAAGCATGATGTGTTGTCTAATGGTAGACCCTACTGCCATATGGTATCACGAAAATTGTAACCAAGTCCCAGGTTGCTGACTTGACTTTCTGCCTCATTTACACACAATGGACGGGTTGAAGGTCGGAATTTTTTGTAAGATGGCAGGTCAATGGGTAAAGAAAATGCTTAAATTCACTATGATAATGATATTTTAAAATAAATTGGGCCAAAAAGTGTAAAAAATAAGGGTTAAAGTTGCTAAAAAGTGATTGGTTGTGACGTCACATACTAGCTGGCACCGCCGAACGGGAGTCCGGAGGCAGCCAGCTGTGGTGTATGTGTTGTTGCCAGCAGAAATACAGGACTTGTGGCCATATACAAATTGATATACACAGAAATACCTTATTTTTGGGTTAAAATAAATTATTACTCTAGTGTGTATTTACTTGCTGGGTGCCAAAATGATGCAAAAGACCGATAGCTCCAACAGGGAAGTTGTCGTCACTATGTCTATATTTAATGTTGTAGGAAAACTAGGGACGACCATGGCCAGGGGATGGACTTGAGATGATCAAATGACATGTAATTTAACGTGCTTCATAACTGGATGGCGGAGTTCTTGATAATACTCTACTGTACAATCATACAGAGATAAACTTTTGGTAAATTTCTTTCATCTGCCTTGATGAACCCTGGAAGTAGTTGTCCAACCTTCCCGGCTGATCGGCTCTGTAAATAAATACTATTAGATAATGAATTGTGCTTTACTGTGCAACACAGTAATACTATATTGAATATATAAATATTACTAAGCACATTAACTAATTCAATGGATATTAGCTGCCCATACAACAAATTTCATAGTATAAACATTTCAAACAATATTGCTAATATTTTGGTTTGGGTCATCTGGGGAACCTTAAAATTCTAACCATGGGATTAAGTACTTTAAACCATAAGACAAATTATCTCTACAGGATTTCTATTGCAAAACATTTTTCTATCGCATGAGAAAATACATGTCATAGGTTAGGTTAGGTTAGGTTAGGCTAAGTTAGGTTAGGTTAGGTTAGGGTATGATAAGTTATATTATAAGTTATAAGATTAGCTTAACATAAACCGGTGAGGGGGGGGGGGCGTAGTAACTCAAAACTAGTGATTTCCGATAGAAATGAAGGTCAAAATCGTTCATAACACATCGCAAACCATCAGAAAAAAAATTGTGCATGTCTAAGTAGAGGGATGACCTAAACTTAAAATTTACCCAATATCGCCTACCTCGACTCAAAACATCCAAATACTCATAGTAGTTAAAGTAAAATTTTACCCATTAATTAATATAAATGATGATATATCTCAATGCTTCATTAGTGAATCATCAAAACACTAACAGCACTATGTTGTCATGTTTACCTAGTATCAGGCGTTCGCAAAACAATGTCCAGATAATGTGATTACTTCGAAATTGACTCATATATCCATCTAGTTCTGATAGACTGTAAATGCACTGAAAAAAAATCTACCAGGTAAGAATACATGACAGCTGATCTGGTGCGAGCATTGGAGTTTTAGATGTCCATACGAACATAAGAATGGAGGAAACTGCAGCGGACCTATTGACCCATGCTGGGCAGTCCCATTTACACCCAACCCCTATCGTCCATATATCCATCCAACTTATGTTTGAAGCTGCTCTCTATGACACATTTTTTCACTTACGAAATGTCCATGACTTAGACCATAAAAAAATACTCTTAAAACTTACCTAAACGTGGCATTTGGGGTCTGAAGAAGCCATACTTTGTACTACCTCCGACTCCAGCGGTGAGTTTGTTCGAAATCGTCATCTGCCGGGTAGGTGGTGACGTCAGTGAAAATGGCGGCCCTGTTTCTAGAGAAATAAACTTATCTCTACTATTACAGCAGGACTTTAAACTTTTATGAAAAATTATATACAGTATACTGTATCACTCTACGAACGTGGCAGAGTGTATTTCTTGTGTTTACCCAGAACCGACAACTCTTCCATTGCAGGGTCTCAATTGTTTTTCATATTTTGACAACACAACATACATACAGTATATTGTTTCTCTCTATTCATCTTTTTTATTTTGTATTTATTTATGGTCCCTTACTACTACTACTACTACTACTACTACTACTACTACTACTTTTTTTTTTTTTTTTTTTAACGTGGCCTCCAGCCTCCCCCAATAGCCACACCTTCGCCACCATTTATTTACCTTAATATTAAATATCCTAATACATAAGAAGCTATCCTATCTGTGTTAAATTAGTTTAGCCGCAGATCTAAGCGGCATTCAGTGACTGTAGCCTCATACTACTACTACTACTACTACTACTATTATTATTATTATTATTATTATTATTAGTATTAGTATTAGTATTAGTATTAGTATTAGTATTAGTATTAGTATTAGTATTAGTATTATTATTATTATTATTATTATTATTATTATTATTATTATTATTATTATTATTATTATTATTATTATTATTATTATTATTTCGTCCCCAGGCTTTGATGAGAGTCATTGACCTGTGCCCTGGTGGGCTAATCCCGTAAAAAAATATATATATATTATTAAATTATTTGATGAGAAATATTATGCAAATAAGTATATCTTTTATGTACTTGGAATTTATAATTTAATGACGATAGTACGTCCTTAAAAAAATACATTGTCGGTACTAAAAACGTATTTAATTATGCGATTTTCTCAGTATTTGTTTGACATGAGAAAAATGCGAAGCTATTCACCCATTGTTGAGCTTATATCTTCTTTATCTGTTTTCAAAGGAACTCTTTAATTTATGCAACAACATCATAAGTACTCCTTGGTGTATAATCCTAGTGACAAATGAGCTTTCATCATATGCTTTATCTTCTTCATTTAGCCATTGCTTATGTTAAGATTTGTATTCACTGGTTGTGTAGTATACAAGCTGGGTAGTTTGATAGGTCTCTCTTTTCTCTATTTTGGTTTAATTAAAGTTTGCCAACTCCCATACCTTCCGTTAGCGCGAGCCTAAATGGTAAGATGTGTTGCAGGTTGCCCTTCAGACGCGCTCCGGTGGGTGCTTGAGACGGTGGTGTTCTGGTGGTAGTGCAGGGAATCGTGTCGTAAGTTATCCTGAGGAATATTGCTGTGTTGGAAAACTACTGTAGTGACTTTCTCCGTGCTTCTGCTTGTTTTGTTATTTCACACTATACGTATTTTATTAATTGCTAGTTACTTTTTGTCACTACTTAAATTTACGAGTGTGAAGAATCTGGTGATGAATGCAACTCCTGTTGTGAGTTTCTGAATCATGAAAATTGTAAATAATAGAAAATTCAAGGTGCCGTGATAGGCAGACTGGTGCCTATGTGAAGGTGTGTGCATGTACGCAAATATATAAATAAAATACAAACAGCTATTTGTATAAACTAGTAAATTGCCAAACACACACACACACATATATTATATATATCTTGTGTCATCAGGGCAATATGAGATCATTACCGACCACGAGTACCGCTATGTGTAACTGTATGTGAACCCTTATGACTTCAATATTTAAATGTTTATTTCCACAATTAATTTTCAGACCCTAGTTGGTGAAGGTGAGAATCTATTTTCATATCTGGAAAATCTATTTCTTCACAATTTCTCGTCTTCCTTATCCCTTCATAGGTTTTGCGTTATGATACAATTTTCAACTCGACAAAATGACAGATGATGGTGGGTGCTGTGGAAGCAGAGATGCAGATATTGAATCCGTTTTTGAGAAGATGTTAATATGACTTAATTATGAAGTAGAATATTGATATATCTCTAAAATTAGTGTCATATCGAGGACGTCAAACTGGCATGACTACCTTACTTGCTGACGGAGACCTACAGTACATCGTGGATACGCCCAGAAAGTTATGACCATAAAATTGATAGCTGTTGAAGTCGATCATGTCTTACTTAGTGTTGTTGAGGATATGATGGTTGTGTGTGTGTGTGTGTGTGTGTGTGTGTGTGTGTGTGTGTGTGTGTGTGTGTGTGTGGACTAGCCTCGTATCGTATCCTCAGGGACCAGAGTCAAATATTCTGTGTAATGAGAACACATCTGTGCATTAGTTATTTTTTTCCACTTCATCTCTTTCAGGGTGATTCGAGAAAAGTGAATCGTCGATCTTTCAAATCCACAACTACAACCTTCAACACTCGACACCATAAAGCATAAAAAAGATAAAAAAAAATCTCAACCAGACGTCATCGCGTTCCTGTTCCTTTTGTTTTGGACACGAAGATGAAAGACGCAACCAAACTTTCCGACGCCAAGAAAATATTTTTAGTCTTCCATGAGATGCTGGGTTTAACCGGGTGTATGATGCAGGACATAAGAAGTATCTTGCCAATAGGAGGCTTAATCAGGTGCCTATTTATCTCTTCGTCATCCACTTCGACTCCTACATGACGCAAGGTAAGTGTTTAAATTTCAAAACTTAAGTTTCAGTAACCGTAAATGACAATACAATATTTGTCAATGATTTTAAACACATTAATAGATTGTAGTAAAAATCCAGCTCTTGATTCAAGAAAAGTGAAAGAAGTTAACTCAATACGTTGTCTTATATTCTTCCTTTCTCTAGTTAGTGAAAAAAGTTGGTATACGTTTCATAAGTCAAGTCATTTCTCATGCAAGAAATGCAGAGGAAAGCCGAAGATGAATTTCGTCGTTCTCTTGAGACCAAACAACAATACACCACGCCTGAGAACCACGCTGAAGCATTCATTTGTATATTAGGACTGTTAACTTGCTAAGCCATGTGTACTGGTATGCAACATCGGTGGTTTTACGCTACAATCACTATGGTAAGAAACTAACAGGTTAACAGTGAATGGAAGATTCATACTTCCACACTTTATTAGCCTTGCAATGTAAACTAGTTTCCTTACTTTCAAATACAGTATATATATATATATATATATATATATATATATATATATATATATATATATATATATATATATATATATATATATATATATATATATATATATATATATATATATATATATATATATATATATATATATATATATATATATATATATATATATATATAATGATTCTAATTCATACTATTTTCATTTAAAAGTGACTGAAGATGAGGGACAAAAGAAGTACTTCTGAGAGTTTGCCAAAAGAGCCATGGCAGACGCTGGGTGGTGACACTGAGAAACATGAATTGGAAAACAAACGAACCCGAGGAAACGAGAGATGTCACCAGCCAGCTTGTCAAGAAGTGTGGAGAAGAACCATGGTAGTCGCAGGACCTTGCTGACGAGCTGGAGCAGAACAAAACATATAGCAGTCAGATTGAGGCAGTTGAAGAGATCGCTGCCTTGAATATGACTAAATTTATCACATGACCTGGCAGCAGACGCAAGAAAGTACACATGCTATTATTTATTGTTCGAAATTTCGTACATGGAAGGAAAAGCGTATTCACACTTTCATTATATCAAAACAGTATTTCACTTGACCAGATTACTGTATATAGTACTTGATAATACAAAATCGAAGATATTTTATACTGAACCCACGATATATTTTATAATTTTATGTGCTTGTGACCAATACTCCTTTGTGATATACTGTCTATATTATCAAAATATATATTTTTTAAATTTTCCTCAATACGTTGTTATATAATAAGCCCAGATTAATGAGTTAATTATGAGATCTTAAATAGATAAAAGAATGTTGAGAGAGAGAGTGAGAGAGACCCCAAAATATACTTAATTGATGTAATATATTTTTTTAGTGTTAGGGCTACCAATGAAAAATATTAAAACGCACTAAATCTCTACTATGTATTTTCATTCCTCCAAACATATACCAATATGTTACCTTATAATGTGGACTGTACATAAAACTGCCATCAATAATAAATACTTTTAATCAATGTCAGAGCACCACCAACCATATTTATTTAATTTATTTATATTATTAATTATCAGAGTTGAGAGGAAGCTTTTAAGAAATCTAATATTTCGGCTGTCCTCCCTAATAGTGAAGTCGAGCAGCCAAGGGCTTGACCCGGGAAATTTTGGGCACATATTGTTTTTTTGGTTCTTTCTGTACCTTTCAAGTGTCCTCGTTCAGAATTTGGATGATGCCACCTCATCACCCTTGAGGAATTTGAGATTTTCAAGATGGCGTCCAATATGACCGCCAAATAAGATAATCGTCATACCTTGGTTGTTTATCATCCCAACACAATGATTTTGGTGTCAATCCCTATGTTTTCAATGCCAATAAATCTGTTTCACTAATCAGTAATGCTTTTAAATTATTTTTTGTTAAATTAAGTTTTCACAATTTTCACAGTAGATCAACAGCTGTACCGTGTTGTGGTTAACGTATTCACATTGTTCATTAAATTTATTCCAATACTCGGGGGAATGCATATATTGATGAGTTTTGTGGAGTGTGTAGGTGTATTAATGGCTAATAATGGTTTGGAAGAAATTTTGCTGTGTTGGTCAAGGTGGTATTTGTGAGAACTGTACGTGAAAGAAGATTGGTCATTACATCTCTGGGGTGTCAGTGCAATGATGCCTTATTTCTTACTGCTCCTCTGCCTCTGAAGTAAGGGGTTTTGACAGTAACAAATAAAATTCAACTCAATGGCCTTATATGTGAAGCCCTTGTGACACAGGCACAATAAATAGAGAGTACGGAAGAGACTTTCAACCGCAAGTTGGTGGTCACAATCTCTCAATCGGTCCTACAGCAAGTTCACCTGGGAGTGGTGATGAATGCTGCATAAGGAGGCATATGTCATAATTCCCCAATAAGTTATGATTGAGGCAGAAAGAGGATCAAAATAACTCTGACACTGACGTATTTATCCTGTTGTTCCACTACTCTGGTGAAAGGATTATACAATGCCTCACTCCTTATGAAGGGAAGTACTGTACAGTACTTCCAAAAGAACAACTATTAATAAAGGTTTTTCTTTGGAGTAACCCAAGGATATAAGGCCATCACTTCTTGGCGCTCACGCACTTTCGTGATGTGAGCCCCAATGTGAAGTATTGGGAAAAGCAGTCTTAAAATTCTGCATATAGGACATAAATTAGCCAAATTTGGTGAACCAATGGCAAACATGTATGATGTTAGAGCAGAAACCACAAAATATTCTGCAGCGATGAGACAGATGACATGTCAGCAGTGAATTATCAGTTATATTTAAAAGGATAAGCAGAGACAAATAAATTATTCTTCGAGTTAAAGCACTCCAACAAACAGCTGCTGCAATTGATGAAAATGTAAGGAGATCCCACCTTCAAGCATGTACCAAGAGCCATCAGATCGAGACCCCTTTGAGTTTGGGTGGATAAGAGATGAACAACACAGACTGCTTTCTCAAGTGATACAATCGAATTCTCTGGCCTCAGCTCCACCTGCACTACACCACCATTGTGCTCAACTACAAAGTGTGAATGTGCCAAAGAAAAACTATCTTGCACGGTTTTCTGTGAATGCCATGCAATTGCTATATGCAGCAATTGATGGACAAAGGGCAACACTGTTAATGATTACGATAATGGAGAATTGATGTTAGTGTTGTAAAATGAATTTTACATATACCTTTGAATGGGAATGACGAAGTTTCATAATTTACTTATTTTGTGAAGATATTGTTATGTATTGTTTCTTACAATTCTGTGTGTGTGTGTGTGTGTGTGTGTGTGTGTGTGTGTGTGTGTGTGTGCACAGGTTGGTGTAATGCGTCTAGTGCGGAAGCATTATGTTAGTGTTAAGGTGCAAGCACTGCTTGCTTCCTCTTACTTTCAGTTACCGCCGCTGGCTAGCCCTCGTGGTGAACAGGGAAGTAATTTGCATAAATCCTCCCCTGCCAGTACACAGCCTCTTCACCATCAAAACTCCTGCTGTGCCTCCTCGTGACAACACACGATAACTGGGTGGCTCATGGGCCCAGGTTAGACCAGCAGAGGATCTCGGAGTAGCAGTGGGCCCCAGAGGGACGGCGCTTAGGCCCACTGGCATGTGGACACGTCCTGGCGCCCACCAACCACTGCCCCGCTGCCTTGCGGATTAACCTTGGTAGGCATAATAGGGTTACGGGAGTAAGGCCCGATCGAAAAATCTGCGGTGAAGCCCCACATCAGGCAATCATGCTTACAGAGCTCCAACAAGGCCCCAGCAGCGGTATAGGCGGAAGAGGTCACCACAATGGGAACCCAACGACTACACGGGCGGACAAAGGCAATGCTTGAGGGACAGGCTACTAAGGTGAAATCCAACAAACTGGGCTATCGACAGTCCATTGAACTCTCCCTCTCCCATTAATTGCAAAACTTGCACCACTGGATCAGGAAAAGGGAGAGCCAAGATGTGTGGTTGCAGCCTGCACTCCTGCCTCACCACATAAATCAAATCACTCCCAGCCATCATCCAGCTCATCATACTCATCATCATCACCATCATCAAAACCCCTATACCCTCAAAAGTCCTCTGGCGACGGACGAGTGGCGACGGGGACAGGCAGAGATGACTGCCGGGAGTGTCTCGGCACAGATAAGATGCAATCCGGTCCTGTCTGTGCGACTGAGCAGCCCTTTCGAGGAACCACTCTGCTCACCCCACATGGGTAAGGGGCAAGAAAAGGTGCCCGAAACATAGCCTGCCTAAAGAACCAACATGACTGGGCAGTCACACCCAGAAAGGTCATCTTTACGCAGTCGAAAACACAACCATAATCACAGATCAAAACAAAAACAATATATACAACCTCTTATGGTCGCTGCATGGAATGTAAGGACCCTTCTGGATATTGACACAAATGAGAGTCCTGAAAGAAGAACCGCCCTTGTGGCAAAAAAGCTGGCTAGGTATAACATCGATATACTGTAGTCGCCATTAGTGAGTCCCGGCTCCCAAACGAGGGTCGACTCACAGAAAAGGGGTGTGGCTATACCTTCTTCTGGAAGGGTAAGCCTGCTGCGGACAGAAACCACATTTATGGAGTTGGCTTTGCCATCCGCCAACACTTCCTACACAGGCTAACTGAAATGCCTAATGGGATCAACGAGTGTCTCATGACGCTCCGAGTCCCACTGAATCACTCACGTCATGCCTTTTTCATCAGTGCATACACCCCAACACTGGATACAGAGGATGACATCAAGGAGGCCTTTTACACCGAACCTCGACAGAGTGCTATCCTCTATTCCTAGAGAAGATAAGGTTGTGCTCCTTGGTAACTTAAAGGCCAGAGTTGGCAGAGATGCTGACATTTGGCAGGGAATCATAGGGAGAAATGGACTAGGCAAGTGTAATCCAAACGGCCTACTACTCCTTAGCAAGTGTGCTGCACAGAGCCTCACTATCACCAATACCTTGTTTAGGCAGGCGGACAAGTTCAAGGGTTCGAGGCAACACCCACGATCTAAACACTGGCATCTCATCAAATACATCATTGTCAGAGAAAGAGATCACCGACAAGTCCTCATCACCCAAGCCATGTGTGGCTCAGACCACTGCGACACTGATCATCAGGGCCAAGATCTCACTTCACGTCGCCCCAAAATGGCGAAGGCAGCAAGTCTCCAGAAGAGGTTTTAACACTAAGCGTCTGAAGGATCCAGCAGTAGCACATGCTTTGAGAGAGCAGCTCGAACATGGGCTGGTAAACAACCCGACAACAAACAACCCAAATCCCAGTGCCGAATGGGATTTTCTTGACAATGTCATGACAAAAACCTAAAGAGACCGAAAGATTACACCAGGACTGGTTTGATAAAAATGACCCAGAAATCAATATAATCGTCGATGATAAATGCATTGCTTAAACTGACTGGCAGAACAACCCTCAGTCTCGGACGAATTGCTGATACCTTCTGCAAGAAGAAAGCATCGTCTCAGTGCGAACTTCACAATCTAAAGAACGACTGGTTTAAAAATAACGCATGTGAAACACAAAAACTTGCAGATGAGCACTAGATGCACGAATTTCTCAATTCCACTACAACATTTTATTGGCCAATCACTCATAATGCAGCCCCCCTCCGCTCATCTGACGGTGACTCCTAAATTAAAGACGAAGAAGGCATCCTTCAGCTTTGGAGAGAGCACTACCATTCGCTGTTCAATCAAAACACAGATGTAGAAGCCCTGACTACCCAGCAGGTCCCCCAGCAACCAGAGTTGACCCACCTCAGCTATCCTTCATCCCTGGATGAAGTAGCTACTGCCATCAAACACATGAAAAATGACAAAGCCTCAGAACCAGTTGGACTCCCAGCTGAGGTGTATAAAGCAGGAGGACCTCTGCTTATCAGCCGTCTCCACTCTCTCCTGGAGAATATATGGGAAAAGGAGGAAATCCCCCAAGCTCTTAGAGATGCATCCATCGACAATATTGATAAGAACAAGGGAGACCAGTCAAACAGTGGTAACTACAGCAGGATCTCGCTGCTGTCCATAGCTGGCAAGATTATCCGTCCGAGTTTAACTAAACAGACTTCTTCCTGAGGCGGAAAACTTCCTCCCAGAATCTCAATGTGGCCTTCGAGTTTAGACCATCACATGGCACCACAGACATGATCATTGCTGCCCGCCAGATACAGGAAAAGTGCAGAGAACAGTGTCGTGACCTGTACATGGCCTTCATCGACCTAACCACGGCCATCGACTCGGTCAACAGGGAAGCCCTCTGGCGGACCCTCAGCAATTTTGGCTGTCCACCAAAATTCATTGCCATTGTGAGGCAACTCCACGAAGTCATGACTGGCAGTGTCCTACACAATTGCACTCAGTCTGAGTTCTTGCCCATCCAAA